TTGTTTCCCTGTTTTTTTACTCGGCCCCCGTCATTGACTCCACAATCCCCGATTTAGCGCTCCGCCACCTTCATCAAGAGAAAATACAAAACTTAAACAATGAATATCCTAGGTAACTAAATTGCTGTTTCAATCTGAATTAGGGTTTCATTGAAAGCGGAAATCAACCAACATACACACAACAATCCAAAATAAACAATAAAAAAAAAACGTTGAACTAATTCTGGGGAATGAAAACACAACACCAAGAAATGACTTGATCTGTAGTACAACAATAGCCAACGGAAATACAATACTCCGTAGAAAATGTAGAAACCCTAGGCACAACAAACAGATTTAAAGAACATATCATACCAAGAAAGCAATGCAAAAGTTTCCCGCACCTAATTGCCAGAAGAAATCATCGCGAAGAGCAGGACGGAAAATTTCTTTTCCTTTTAACAGAATAAAGAAAGAGCGAAAACGGGCATAAGGCGAAACTGTGAGAATATCGAAATAATACACCCAAGCACGACACCGTTTCATCCAAAAATTAAAACGACGTCGTTTAGTCGCGGGCCCAAGCTTATAAGATGCCACGTGGCCTTATGAGAGTGAGTCTTTCAATCTTTTTATAAGTAAGAGTATAGATAGATAAGAATTACCATTTACCAAAAATAGTAACAAAAAAATAGGCCAGAATTTAATGCAGTCTATAAATAGTAAGTTTTATTATTTTATTATTTTTTTCTTTAAAAATCATACATCATTAAATGTTACCTTAAATTACGGGCTTTAGTTTATTTTATTATTTAAAAAATCCAGCTAAGATTTATTAAGTGTGTATGTTTTTGTTTTTATTTTTTCTTATAAACAACGAACAATATTAAAATCTCGGTCTCTATATTTATAAAATCCCAATTCAAAATATAACAAAAATTTTAGAATCTCGGTCTTTATATTTGTGCCTTTAAAAAAAAATATTGAACGCTAAAAATATTCTTTAAATTGCATAATCATTCAATTAATCTTAATTTTTTTAAAATTACTATGTCTATTTTGTATTAATATGCATAGAGTAAAAATAATTAATTCATCTTTAGATATATAATTTATAATCTAATATACTATCATTTGGTGCAGACATTTATTATATGAATCATAAAATATTTCTATTTCATAAAATTAAATATATTTAAAGAAAATAAGAAAATTTTGTCGAGATCAATCGGGTGATTGAATTAGGGTACTGCCCAGGTTTATTGAATTACTTTTAGATGATATTTAAAATATTCAAAAAACTTGACATAACTTGGTTGGTCTCAGCTGACTAAGTTATGTATCAGTTCGACTACACCAAATCGATTATTGAACCTAAATATAAATTTTATATTGAAAATATTTTATTATGTGAATGTGATGTAGTCCAAACTTCAAATAATCGTATTAACAATACTTTTATGACAACATGTTTAATGATTTATGAATATTTATATATCATTTTATTAATAGTTATGTGAATTAAATAATATTTTATTATAATATTTATTAATGTACAAAAAATATAAGGTTTTCAGAACTGGACCGTCATGAAAACGATCAAACTATTTTATTAAATCATTTGTGGTTTGTTCAGATTTTAATTTATAAACATTTTAATATATATATATATAGTATTTTTTGTAATAAATTTAAATAAAATGTGTTACTTAGATGATATCTAAACAATTTATAAATTCAAATGTTTAAACTAATTGATAAATAATTTATAAATCTCTATTTTATTTAAATATGAAATTTTATTTAAAATAATTTTAAATATAACAAAATTTATTTAGAAAATCGTATCGATCCTACCAATCCAACCGATTGGTGTTGACAGATTCGAGAGCAAATATTTTATTCAAGCGAACTAGACTGGTTATAAACCGGTTCTCAGTTCATCTAGTCGGACTGTGTCCAACTCGGTTTAATTTAAAAAAAATAGATAAATCATGATTAATGTTATTTATATATTTAATTTATAATAAAATCATAATATTATTTTCCCGTGCATCGCACGGGCCATGCACTAGTTAATATTAAAAGATTGACATTTTGTTAGTTACTTAATACAGATTATTAAATGTTCTGAAAATCAGAAAATTGAAAATTATTGTATTATATCACCTTTTATTTCAATTTTTTTCGCAAGTGTGTTTCTTTTATTAAAAGTTCATTCATGCTGATTATATTATTAATCTTTCTTTTTTTAAAAGTAATCTCGCAGCTTATAACATCTTTTATGTTCTTCAATTAATTCAGATTTAAATATAAAAATAGCTTAAACAATTATTCCAAAAATTTGAATTATATAGCACTAAAAATTAAATTTAGGGATGAATATATGATTGAATCATTATATAGCTTAAACAATTATTCAAACATGAATTAATAACACTAAAAAAATAAATTCGGAATGAATGGTTGAAGCACTATAACGTGGGTTGACGATTGATAGCCAACTATCTTAGTAACGAACCTAACTACATAAGGATGTTTTATGCGGTGATTAATGGATGAATTGGGAGATAATAAGCCTAGAATTGAAATAAAAATGCAAGATATAATAAAGAACACATATGATTTTGCCGACCTGCTAAGAGATCGACAAGGAGAGTGAATTCTCCTGAATATGATTATTGAGAGTATTTTGAGGGGTGTTTTGTAGCTGATAATTGCATTGTTCTTATGAGGTACTGGACGACTCATTTATATGCGAAAAAAGTAAAATACAATAATGACAATATGCCACCTTAGGGGCTAGATGGTCGCCACGTGTTGTCATGCAAAAATTTGATTTTTGAGGATGAGACGTGCATTCCAACTTTTCATGACAGGATTAGTTGGACGGTCGCTTTACGGATTCAGTTGTCAAAGGGCATTCATACTTTGCAGAGAGATTGGTGGTGGCATTTTAAGAGATCAACAATTTTCAGGCGGGAGATCAGCATGAAGCTTAGCGGGAGAGATCGCCACGAGGCTCAGTGTTTTGGGGTCGGTATTGCTTGCTGAACTTGTTCCACAATTCCTGCTCCTTTCATATGTGCTTGGTTTCTAAAAATACATATAACAATGGCCCCTCCAAGTTTCAAGATTGCCGAGGGGATCGCTACATCAACGAGGGGTCCAAGAAGTTGTAAGTCGTGTGCCATTATTCATCACGTAGGGGTCAACAATCTTGGATCGTCATAGGGTTGGGCTTATTTGAATTTTTCAAATTAATGTTCTAAGTTTGATGTCTGCCAAATAGGTGGAACTTTGCTAAAAATGAGCAATATAGTGGACTAAAAATGAAATTATGCCCAAAAATGTATTATTTTCAAAATTTATGAAATATATAATTATTTTATTATATTTAATTATGATATTTCCTTATATTTATAAATTTAAACAATAATAACATTCAATTCTTTATATAATCTATTTAAGTATAGAAATAATATTTTATAATATTTCTTGTAATTTATTTTATGCAATACTTAATTTCCATATTTCATCCAAAATCTACGGAACAAAATATTATAATGATATTTTGTGGTGTATTGATGAAGTAGATTTATATTGTTATTTGATATTTTTAAAAAGTATAGATGTCAAATCGAATATCGTTAAAATATAATTATTTTTATATATCACGTATAAAAATAAAGTACAAAAAAATTAAAAAGTTATAAAAATAAAAAAGAATACTAATTTAAGATAATTAATATATAAATTAAATAAGAAAAGGTAAGAGTCATATGTATGGTGACTTAAGAAAAAAAGAAAGGTTAAAATAATTTATGGTAATTCACAAGCCTATTAGTCAAAACCAAACATGTACATTTGTTAATACAAAACACAAATTTATGTTAAATAAGCTTACGAAGCATACGAGTCTGCTACTTACACTCAACACATTCGAGAATTATATAATAGGGCTATATTCATAATGGTTACCTTAGATTAATTTACTTCATAATATATTTATATTAATATATATAATATAATAATAATAGTAATAGTAATAATAATAATAATTTATATAATAAAAGAAGAACATAACAAGATAAAAGTAGGGAAAAGGCTACAATCCGTCACGGAATGATTCCGTGAGGGTTTTGAGCCATTAGATATACAGTTATTGCAGATACATGGAAGTTACATGTTTATCTAATAGCTAAAAACTATAGTTTTTAGACTCGGCCTTGAAATCGATCTGGGCATGTCTCTGGGTCACTGAGTCACTGGTTCAACCGCCGGGTCAATTGTTGAACTTGATAATTAATTTTAAAATCATATATATAGTATTTTTTACATATAAATATATATAAAAGTAACAAAAATAAATGTTTTGTATATAAATTTGTACATCAAAGTGTTAAAAGAATTGTATCTCACAATAAATATTTTCAATATCAATATATTACATAGCTTTTATATTTTATATAAAAAAATTATTTAAAAAAAATAAAAAAAAATATAGGGATCGGGTCAACCTGGTTTACCTGGCCGGGTCAATGCCGGGTTGGCCGGGTTTTGACCGGGTTTGATCGGGTCTATTGCTACCCGGTCCAAATAGCCCACTCGGATCGGCTTCGGCTCCGGGTCGACCCGCCGGACCGGTTCGGGTTGAAAAACAATACTAAAATTAACCCTCACGGAATCATTCCGTGACAGGATTGTAGTCTTTTTCTAAAAATAGAGAAAATTTTAAAACTAGTCCCGCATGTATAGTGTCATGCCACGTGTGATGACTGTTACCAGCGTGTCAAGAAAAAAAATGCCACTTGTACGTGTGTGGCTTTTCGGGCCGAAAATGACATTAAAAGTCCTACTTTTAATTAGTTTTTGAAAGTTGTAGAGCTATTTTGATTTTCAGTATTCGGTGGGGACAAAAAAATATGTCCCCTATACGTGGGACTAATTTTAATTTTTTTTCCAAATATTCTAATATTAATTGATAAAGATATAATATAGTTTTAAATCAAGAATCCCAAATGGGGCCGAAGGCGGCGAAGCCGGCGGCCTTGCATGCGTGGACGACGTCCCTACTCCCCTCTGGATTACTGGTCACGATCACCACCTCAGCCTCGAACCCCCTGGCTGCCTTCACGCTCATCTCCGCCACGTTAGGCCGCGTCATCACGGCCGTATCATGCACGATAACTCTTCCGGCCTTTGAAGCTTCTGTTATCCACCCCTTGATCTCCGCTCCGTAATTCTCCTCCACTCCTTTTGTCACCCACAGCACGCACACCTCTGCTGCGCTCGGCTGCAGAAGAAATGACAAGAACACGCAAATCCCCGACCCTGTCGCCACCAACAAAGCCCTACTGTACATGTTTGTCAGGTACGGCAAGCCAGCAAAGTGCACTTGTCGGACCCATAGGTGTGTCGGGGGGTTTGAAACCAAGGACTTGGTGAAGTCCCCCACCGCACCCGCAAGCATCATGTGCTCCTTCTTGCCGTCCGAGATAATCCCGAACGCGTGCCACTCGGAAAACGGTGACGGGCTTATCCGCCCAAGAATCCCGGACTTGACCCCACCCTCGAACTTGATGATGGAAGCATGCCCCGACGGAGACGAGACTTGCACTTTAACTTTTCTCACTGTCAGCCATGGCACGACGATCAATACGGTTGTCGTGAGCGTGAACCAAAACTCCTGACTTCTGACGAGCCTCGACCCTAACTCATCCCGGTACGATTCTGTTCTCGGGTTGTACGAGACGGTGAGTAAGACGAAGGCCCATAGGAGGGCGAGGGCGGCCCATCCCGCGAACCGGTGGGTCCGCTCGAACACATTGTGGTGGATGTGCCGGAGGAGCGGAAACGCCGCGAGTGCCGACAGCGCGAGGAGGCCGAGGATCGCCGCCGCCACGCCAAAAGCCTCCGGTGGCGTTCCGGAGCCTTCTTTCGCAGCGAGGACGAGGGCGTAGACGAGCCAGGCGATGGAGGAGATTCCGCAGCCGCTGTGTATGCCTCCGAGCGACTGCAATAGGGACGTCGTCATCGTCTTGAGACGAAGAGGGACCCACGAGTGGCCGAGAGCGGCCACGACCGCCCAGAAGACGAGCCTCAGAAATGCCTCGCTCCGGCAGAGGACGAGCGCGAAGACATTTGCGATCGAGAACAGGGCGGGTCGGGCCCTGGCGTAAGGGAAGTTTCCAGTGACCGCAAGGGTTAGTCCCGTAACGTTTAGGGCCACGCAGACAAAGAGGAGACGCTTGTAGACAGTGAAGAGGCCCTGGTCGAGAAGGATAACCGAGAGCCTCGAGGGTTTCGGCCTTGTAGGGGTTTGGCGGTGTTTGCTGGCGGCGGGCGGGAGGACGAGGAGTGGCTGAGGTGATTGGTTGCAGTTGTTATGGGCCTTGCCTTCCTCCATTTCGTTGGTTTCCGGCCATGTGGTGACCCTATCCGGGACGGCAAACAGGTCGAGGTGGGGTTTGATTTCGAACGCCACGCCCCTGCAGCTGGAAAACTTGTTGAGTTTGTCCGAGTTCTCCATTTTTCTTAATTTTCTCTATATTGTGAAGTATATATTATCTAAATGTGGAGAGTTGTGTGGTTGTTGATTGGGAAGGAGAGTGCTCTATTTATGAATAAGCCCTCAAGAAGGTTACAGCGTAACATGCCTTAGCATTAATATTGTGTCGGCCAATAAAACAATATTGTTATGGTGGACTTGGTAAAATCATAGTAACACAGGCGCGCATTATTTGTATTGTTTATTTTACTATCCCAAAAGTGGGAATGAAAAACTGGCCCATTACAACAAAATGGATTTTTACTGTTGTTATCCGTTGACTCGTGGTTGACTCGTTGTGCGACCCAATGGAGATGCCAGGAGAAAGTCTATTAAATTTGTTTCCAGTTGACTAGAGTCTGAGATACAGAGATAGTGAGATATGTCATCACACCTGGAATCAGGCTAAATTTCATTTTTCGGACACTTTGGCCATTTTTTTAAAAAGTCCATCATATAGAGTGCCATTAAGAATGGTCCATTAAATTGCCACTTTTAATAAAAAATCGTACAAAATTCAACATAGTGTACTAAAAATGACAATCACTTTTAGTACACTATCTTGGTTTTTGTACGAATTTTGATTAAAATGATAACTTAGTGGACCATTCTTGATGACGTCGGACCTTTCTCAGAAAATGATCAACATATATAGTAGACTATTTTTGAAATATTACCACTGGAATTATTAATTGGTTCCATGATAATTATTTATCAGAATATATGTTACCTTACTCCTCAGCCTAAGATGCTATAATGTGACAACTTAACATGTATTTAACAAAGAATAAAATACTATGACTCGTTGTCACTACAAGACAACGATTTTGTTGTCTAGTTCTCCTTGTCACTACAAGACAAATAGTTAAATCAAGGATGGAGTGGCATGCTGGCATCATTCACTTGCTATCAAATATGCTGAGTCTTGTCTTCATAGGCATTCACATTGAGCACCATTTTGGATTTGGTAAGGACTATCATAGCCCCAAAAATACTGAGAGGGAAAACTCCATTTGAATCGGTCTTTTAAAAATGTGTTTCTCTTGTTCTATGTTACCAATTTTCTGATTTCTCTTCAGAGTGCATATCGGCATAATCTACCTGTTTATCTGGATTTGGCAGGAGTGCATTATCCTCCTTATTCATATGGAACAGGATATCGGTTGGTGCTTCGGGTGCACTATACAAACAAGGTGGGTTTATTATAACTAATTAATATATTCTGTGTTATTTAATAATAAAAACAATCTATTCTATAATCTCTTATTATATTTTTGTAAAGTTTCATGTACATGGCCCGGTCATGCATGAGAACTTTGCAGGTTGCTTGGTGGACTATTGACATTATTGGTGATAGTCGTGGTTTCACTTGGTTGTTGGTATTTTGCCTCATGTGGACAACTTTGCCCACATTGGAGGATTTCTGACCGGATTTCTTCTTGGGTTTTTTTTACTGCCTCGTCCCCATTTCAGGTGGGTAGATATAATGAGAGGACAAAGATATGATGAGAATATATACATCTTGTCTACTCTCACTCCAAAGCAAAGGAAAAACTAGAGATTTAATCTATACGTGGATCTAAATTGAGGTTTAGTCTTCTCCAATACCCACTTTTGGAAAATAAGTGCCAAAAATCATGAGAAATTGTCCTCACACCGGCTATAGCAGGTAAATTTGACCGGCTAGCTTACGTGGAATTTGTTTTTAATTTTTTTTTTTTTTGCTTACGTGGAAGGCCCATGCTTAAGTGGCAGATTTATCTAATTTTTTCTTTTGTTTTTGCTGAGTTGTAAAGCCCTTTGCTTAAGTGGCAGATTATGGGAGATAATTACAACAAAAAAACCACAGAGAGAGATTTCGAACCTGGTTGCCAGCCGGTTAAATAGCCTTCCAAGCCACTGGACTACAAATAACATTTTTTATATGTTAGACTTAACTTTTATATCAATAAAGGATATTTATCCAAAAACAATATAAACTTATAAAACTATTACCTAATTTATTTATTAAATATGTATTAATTACGAAATAAAAAATAAGTAAATAAATATTATTACATATTTAATTATCTTATCTAATTAAACTTTTTTCATCATTATTTTTGTTTTTATACTAATTTATATTATTTAATTTTAATTACGGTTTTATATATTTAATAAAATATTTACTTAATAAAAAAATATATTAAATAATATAATAAATAAATATATTAGACACTATGATTTAACTTTAACATATTTAAAAAACAACAAATATCGATATATACATATTAAATGATTATGTTAAATATTTAAATAAATAAATATATTATATAATATATAAAATATGTAAATAAAATAATGAATATATTAAATAAATAATTAATAAATAAATGTCATTTATTCAATATTTATGCAATTAACTTTTATTTGTATACTAAATAAATATTCACTAAATAAAAAATTAATTTAATAACATAATAAATAATTATGTTAAATAATATAATAAATAAATATAATTAATAAACATATTAAATAATATATTAAATAAATATATTTTTACTAAATAAATAATTATAATAATTTAATAAAATAAATAAATATATTTAATAAATCTATATATGAAATCTAATTAAAGTTAAATAAGGTAAATAAGGTAAATAAGAAAAACATAAATGATAATAAAATTTGAGTTAAACGAAATACTATATTTAGTATTTATATATTTTAGTTTCATTATTTAAACACAAAATTNAAAAAAAAAAAGAAAAATTAAAAACAACTTCCACCTCAGCACACCGGTCAAATTTACCTGCTATAGCCGGTGTGAGGACGATTTCTCACGATTTTTGGCACTTACGGAACATTTTCCAAAAGTGGATATTGGAGAGGACTAAACCTCAATTTGGATCCACTTACAGGACTAAATCTCTAATTTTTCCCAAAACAAATGTAATAATAACCAACATGCAGCGAACCACAATAGAAAAAACTGGCAGATGGAGATTTTGAGTGCTTTCTTGCACCATATATATTACCTCATATAAGGTAATTAAGGAAAATCATACCTACAAACTTAAGAAAGCTCACATGGATCCATAAAAAGGTAAATTTATTTTTTAAACAATGTAAGTTTCCATATAATATTCCATATAATTTTTTAAACAATGTAAGTTTCCATATAATTTATTTTTTAAACAAAAAATCATGTAATATTCCACGTAAAAAAAAAAAAAAAGAAAAATTAAAAACAACTTCCACCTCAGCACACTGGTCAAATTTACCTGCTATAGCCGGTGTGAGGACGATTTCTCACGATTTTTGGCACTTACGGAACATTTTCCAAAAGTGGGTATTGGAGAGGACTAAACCTCAATTTGAATCCACTAACAGGACTAAATCTCTAAACCCCTTCCTTCTATATTTTTTGTAAGTTTCCATATAATCTGCATTGTATCCTTACAACTCAGAATAAAAATAAAAACAAACAAAAAATCATGTAATATTCCACGTAAGCAAAAAAAAAAAGAAAAATTAAAAACAACTTCCACCTCAGCACACCGGTCAAATTTACCTGCTATAGCCGGTGTGAGGACGATTTCTCACGATTTTTGGCACTTACGGAACATTTTCCAAAAGTGGATATTGGAGAGGACTAAACCTCAATTTGGATCCACTTACAGGACTAAATCTCTAATTTTTCCCAAAACAAATGTAATAATAACCAACATGCAGCGAACCACAATAGAAAAAACTGGCAGATGGAGATTTTGAGTGCTTTCTTGCACCATATATATTACCTCATATAAGGTAATTAAGGAAAATCATACCTACAAACTTAAGAAAGCTCACATGGATCCATAAAAAGGTAAATTTATTTTTTAAACAATGTAAGTTTCCATATAATATTCCATATAATTTTTTAAACAATGTAAGTTTCCATATAATTTATTTTTTAAACAAAAAATCATGTAATATTCCACGTAAGAAAAAAAAAAAAGAAAAATTAAAAACAACTTCCACCTCAGCACACCGGTCAAATTTACCTGCTATAGCCAGTGTGAGGACGATTTCTCACGATTTTTGGCACTTACGGGACGTTTTCCAAAAGTGGGTATTGGAGAGGACTAAACCTTAATTTGGATCCACTTACAGGACTAAATCTCTAATTTTTCCCAAAACAAATGTAATAATAACCAACATGCAGCGAACCACAATAGAAAAAACTAGCAGATGGAGATTTTGAGTGCTTTCTTGCACCATATATATTACCTTATATAAGGTAATTAAGGAAAATCATACCTACAAACTTAAGAAAGCTCACATGGATCCATGAAAAGGTAAATTTATTTTTTAAACAATGTAATTTTGTAACTTGTAATTTAATTTTGTTACTAGAAATTTCATCATTAGATTTATCTTTCCCCGAAGTTATTAATTTTTATATGATTTTTTTTTCAAGTGTCATCGACAATTGGTAGGTGAAGATTGCAAGTATTTCGTTATGAGGTATATATTGAAAATCATCACTGGACAACATTGATGATAAGGTAATTTTGAATAGAAATAAATTATAAATATCCAACACTATATTTTTAAGTAAAAAATTATGTTCTTTTAGTCTTGATTACATGTTTAATTATTTATCTAAATTTCAAGTGTTTAATATAGACGAACATTACTCAAAAGATGTTACTGATGATGTAAGGAGACATTGAACTCAATATTTTCTCGATATCACTTTATTAGTGAAGTAGGATAAGATTATAGACTTTTCTCGGAAACTATATTTATTTAGATAGGCTTGGTAGTTTGTTGAACATGTGCCATATGTTAAACTATTTGTCACTTGGTATTGTTGCTGTTTGTGAAGTCGACCTATACTGTTGGTGTGTTGACGTTAACGTAAGATGCTAAATAATTTTGTTTTGTATTTGTTTGTTGGTATGATAGTTTTGTTTGTAACAAAAGTTTTTTCAGACATACAAGAGAAAAATAAAAAAATGTTTTACCACTTTTTATAACGAGTCTTTATTGTTAGGTTCATATGCACAAATGCGGAGGGTGTAAATTAAAATACCGAAGTAAAATGATGAACAATAATCTCAATCTCAGTAACTCAAGAATGACAAAAGAAATCTCTTGTAATAAAACATGAATAATTCTTTTCTGATGTGGAAGAACATATTAAACTGTGACCACATAGCATACTAAGAATATCCCACATAAATAAAATATGCAAGAAAGAAGACACCAAGATTTAACATGGAAAAACCTCCAATGTAGAGGAAAAAACCACGGGACAACCTCCGAACAATTCTACTATATTTTCAAGATAATTACAATATCTTTTCACACTCCCCTACACTAGAAATGTTAAATATAGTGACCTAGTTAGACCTTACTCATATTCAAATATTACAAACAAGGAGTAATAGAGATGATACCCAACCCGGTATATTTTTTCCACACTCACAGGATTCACTCAAACATTCTATTTTTATCTCACTGAAAAATCTAACACTCCAGAAACTGAATGTTGTTTATGCTATTTTTTCTTCTCGCTTGGTATGTTATTGTTCAGCCTGATGCCCTCTATTTATAAATAAGAAAGGCTCCATTTTTCAACAAAAAACAGCCCATAGCAGCCACAAAATACCGCTTATTAAATGTTGCCCATTTAATGCTCCAACTTGATGCTGCCAATCATAAGTTTGGATGGATTCTGACATGTATTAGCCCGTTATTGTTTGTAGTATTTTTGGGTAAGTAGTAACCGAGCTACCCGGACTCGGGTCATTCTCAAAGGAAGGCTATTCGGACACGGATTCAAGCAACGATTGACTCACACGAAAGAAAAGTAAAAAGTCCTAAACATTCTACTCGCATGATTTGGTGGTTTGATTAAGCTAGAGAAAGCAAGATTCGTAATTTAAAGCAAGCAACACCTCAAATTGCAAGAAAAAGAGAAAATAGAGAGAAAAATAACAAGGTACTCTAGACCCGAGATGGAAAGAAGACACTCATAGATTCGGGAACATGTAATCAAACAATCGTCACTCGCGGTCAACCAATCGATCTCTCAATCAATTCTCGCTCATGCAAATAAGCTAACGCAATCAATAACACAATGATGATAGCATAATCGACTCATGGAAGCTCTTATCTTAACCCTAGAAAGAATTCAATAAGTAAAGACAAGACAAGACCTACGAGATCTAGGACCTTCAACTAAGTCTCCAATCGGATCTTAAACGAAGTCTTCAAGTCTCTAGTGCATCCACGAGAAGAAATAAGCCAATAAAAATAGGGTCTTAGAGCCCTTAGAGAGAGAAAGAAAACTAGAGAGAAGGAGGAGAGAAAAACTAAAAGGAAAATTTTAGCAAATGAGGAATTGTTCTCAAATTACAAAGCATCAAGTCTATTTATAGCTACACCACAAGCACACACTAAAAACACACACATTTAATGAGGGAAACTCGCGAGGTAGGCTGAACTCGCG